TGAAAAAATAATAAATTAAACTTTAATATAATTGAGATCCAAAAAGGAATTCACTAGTGTGTACTAGTGATGTTACAATCAATAAATTTTAACATAACAGTCAAGTATAAAAAAAAGTATTCAACTAAAATTTACATATTGATAAATTTAATTTAATTGAAATCAGAAATATTAAATAATGCTTAAAAATTAAGAGTTCTATTAAGCATGTATTAAATGATTAAAATTATATATTATATCAAACAAAATACCTAACCTGACTATGTAGAATGAATACACATTTTATTAAATACATTCAAATTGTAAAATACAACTTGGTTAGACTTTGGGACAAGGACAGATTGGAGTAAAAACCAGCTTTGGCTAAAGAAGTTAACAAAAGATTAATTCCAAACATGGCAATACTTATATACTTGAGTTGGATTCAAAACCCCGAAATTAATTTTTATTTTGCTGATAATACTGTATTTCACCTTTGAAATTTCAATGTGAAAGCAAAGTTTGATTATTTTGGTAACAAATTTATGTCTGCAAAGTATATATGACTCATTGCTTGTTCTGCTGATATTCTATGTGATGGATTGCATACCAGAAGTCTTTGTAATAAATCTCGCATTTTTGTTGTTGATTTAGGCACAACCTAAATTAATATATACAATAAAATATTAAACTTCAGTTTCATTTTTATATTATTTTAACCACCAACTTGAACGAGTGTCATATTAGGCTGATACATCGGCATGGGCTTGAAGTCAGGTAGAGTTGTCATGTTAGGCCATGTCTCGTCGGTAGGCGTTCCCAAAAGTTTAAATATCCGTTTTAATTGATCATCTACATCTGAACCAGGAAATAGAGGTCTTCCAGCATTGGCTAACTCTAAACAATGTACTCTTTTATAAACTGTGAAAGAATAATGAAGTCAAAAAAATATACCAGCAAATATACATCCAGCAGACCACATATCAATAGACGTTGTATAAAGTTTAGCACCAAATAGAACATCAGGAGGCCTGTACCATAAAGTGACAACTTCTGCAGAGTAACATTTAACTGGTATTCCAAACGCTCTAGCCAAACCAAAATCGGCTAGTTTTAATTCTCCATTCTTTATAAGTAAAATAAAAATAATATTGATTATYTGAATAATATATTTTTAATAATTCTAGTTTTGTAACCTTATTTATAAGAAGATTCTGTGGTTTAAGATCTCGATGCAAAACATTATGACTGTGACAAAATGMTAATCCGCGTAATAATTGGTACCTAAAAATATAAACTTTATTTAATTACATATATCTAATAAGAAAATTATTTTTTAATACATGAATGATTTCACAACATTAGGATCAATATCCCCATTCAAACTATCAAAATATTTTTTCAAATCTTGATCGCAGTGTTCAAACACAAGTACCAATTTCTTATCACTATGAAGTACATCATAAAGTCGAACAATATTCTTGTGTTTTAACTCCTTCAGTAAACAAATTTCACGTAAAGCCGACGATGGAACACCCTAGAAACATATTCTACTTTAATAACAGATATGAGTTAATTCCTTACATATATACCTCATCGTCATCATCAAGTCTCACACGTTTCAATGCAACGATCTCTAGAGTTTCACGATTTTTGGCTTTGAAAACCGTACCATACGTACCTGTCAATGATTATCAAACAGGTTCATAATGTAAATCAATATACTCATTGCATTGAATGGACTTACCCTCTCCGATTTTATCAAGTTTTTCGTATTTTTGCATGTTTGTAATGAAATATATCAAAAATTTTGTACGATGAGAATTATTAGCAGTTCATCTTCTAACCAAGTCTTATGTATACAAATTACAAATAAAATTAAACTAATTAATGCCTAGACAATAAAAAAAAATATATAGAGTGCCTATACATAAAATATATTACAGTCTGTATGCAATGCAGCGATGCACCACAGCACGGAATACACTTATTTATTCTGTATTTTCGTGAGTAGTGTGGTTATAGATATGTATTATAATATCTATGAGTGAGAGTACCGACAACTGTAACTGTACAGTRCACTGTCTACTATGGTAAGTATTAAGTAATAAGTATAGTATACTGTATAATCCACGGTCTTAGACCATAATTTGGTAAATTTAACTTTTGGAATATACATAAAAAA